CTTTCATCCCATCCTCTCCTAAATCTTGGAGACAGCTGAGGAGAGCGACGGACAGGGCTGCATCCTTTTCACAGAATCATAGAATGGTTTAGGTTGGAAAGGACCTTGAAGATCATCGAGTTCCACCCCTCCTGCCATGGGCAGGGACACCTCCCAATAGACCAGGTTGCTCAAAGCCCCATCCAGCCCGGCCTTGAACACCTCCAGGGATGGAGATTCCACAACTTCTCTAGGTTCTGTCCAGGTTCTCTGGAGAAAGGTGTTGCTGGAGGGAAAGCATCTCATCTCGCCTCCTTCAGCCACTTTGGACAAAGCCCCATGCAACCTGGCCTTGAACACCTGCAGGGAGTTTCCACAACTTCTCTGGGCAACCTGTTCCAGTGCTTCACCACCCTCAAAGTGAAAAATTTCTTTCTAATATCTAATCTTAATCTCCCTTCTTCCTTCACAGAATTCACAGAATTGTTAGGGTTGGAAGGGACCTCTGGAGATCATCTAGTCCAACCCTCCTGCCAGAGCAGGGTCACCTACAGCACGTTACACAGGACAGCGTCCAGGCGGGTTTTGAATGTCTCCAGAGTGGGAGACTCCACCACCTCTCTGGGCAGCCTGTTCCAGTGCTCCACTACCCTCAAAGTAAAGAAGTTCCTTCTCATGTTAAGATGGAACTTCCTATGTTCAAGTTTATGCCCATTACCCCTCGTCCTATCACTGGGTGCCACTGAAAAAAGACTGCTCCCATCCCCCTGGCATCCTCCCATTAAGTATTTGTATGTATTAATAAGATCCCCCCTCAATCTTCTTTTCTCTAGACTAAAGAGACCCAAGTCCCTCAGCCTTTCCTCATAAGAAAGGTGCTCCAGTCCCCTAATCATCTTTGTTGCCCTTTGCTGGACCCTCTCGAGCAGTTCCCTGTCTTTCTTGAACTGGGGAGCCCAGAACTGGACACAGTACTCCAGATGCGGTCTCACCAGGGCAGAGTAGAGGGGGAGGATGACCTCCCTCGACCTGCTGGCCACACTCTTCTTGATGCACCCCAGGATGCCATTCGCCTTCTTGGCCGCCAGGGCACATTGCTGGCTCATGGTCATCCTGTTGTCCACCAGGACTCCCAGGTCCCTCTCCACAGAGCTCCCAGGTCCCTCCCCAGCTCTCCTGTAGGCTCCCTTTAGGTACTGGAACGGCCCCATCATGTAAGGGTAGGTCTAAATGCATCACCTAGGTTCTGTCTAGGTTCTCTGGAGAAAGGCTCTGCTGGAGGGAAAGCATCTCATCTCATCTAAATGCATCACCTAGGTTCTGTCTATGTTCTCTGGAGAAAGGCTCTGCCTCCTTCAGCTGCTTAGGACAAGGGCTGATCCGTGTTTTGAAAGTATCCTTCCTCCCTCACCTTCCATTGACTCTGTTTTGGGCCCAGACAGCTGTGGCTGTAGCAGATGAATCGCTCGCAAAGGGCCTGCATGCCAACACCAGCTCCGTCCATGTGCATCTTCAGGAGCTGATGTCGACCCATTTTTCCCACCAGCCACAGCACAAAGTAGTCCAGCACAGGCTCTCAGCATGCACCTTCCAGGTCAGATCTGCTCACCTGATGGAGTACACCAAGTTCTTGCGTCTTTTCTCTCTGTGCTATTTTCTGCTCTTCCCGAGTCATTGGGCGACAGCAGCTAAGTTGGGATCTGGTCTGCCTTGTGCTAGGGATATGACGAAGGAATGAATCCTGACCTTCATAAAAACACAGGGGTGTTGTCCCAAGCTCTACCGAGGTTGGGACTTGACCTCAAATTCCAGCTCCAGCATTTCTGCTGCTGGTCATGTCAGACCATGCGGGAGGTGCTAACTCCTGGGTGAGCAGGGGCCCATTAGTGAAACTGGTCCGTCCTTTGAGCACTGAAGGAGCAATAAACACAGGTTCCACCCAACCCCTTCCAACAGGTACATTTCAGGGTAAAACAGTTCTTGCAAGGCATGGTGGGGCTTTTCCTTCTACCCACCCAATAGATATGAAAACCAGGAAAATAAGCGTTAGCCTGATTGCATCCCCCTCTGCTAGTCCTCGCAGCGCTCCCCTACGCACCGCAACCACAATAGGCAAGATCAGTCCCTTCTGTCACTGTGCTCCTAAACATCTCTGGAGGAGATGCTCTGGGTTTGAGTGAAAACCTCCAGTGCGTTCACCCTTGTAACCTCAACAGCCACCTTAACATGGGAACTAGCAGAGAAACAGACAAAACTTTCTGATAGTCATTCCAGTAACTCCCCTTGTAAAGCTCCTTAAATAGGAGAAGGAGGCATTAGGTGACCCATCTGGAGAAGACAGGAGCCTGACTTGGCTTCCTGCACTGGGCTTGCCATCGCAGTCTTAGGAGCAGGGAGGACCGGGGCTTGGAGGAGGGATGTATGCCGTGTAAAACGGTAAACCGACCTTGTTCTAGCACTAAATGAATCCGTAAGAGGCTGTGTGAACCCTATGGAAGTAGCTGGAGTCTGGACGTGTCAGCACGGGCTGTACCTGGGTTTGTAAGCTCTGCTGTGGGCCCTCGGTGATGCAGCTGACACTGTCCCCGTTTAGAGGCAGAACTGGCCTCTTCCTGTGACGAGCCACGCTCACATAGACACGATGAGCCAGGAGAGACTTGATTTGATTTTTAAACACACTGCCTTCCTAAACATATCAGTATTCCTTTGGTTTCTGCCTGCTTTAAGGGAAATCTTTGATGCTGCCTTCCATAACGGCTCCTCTCAGCATTTAATTTCCTTTTACATAATTATGCACTGGCCGGGAGGAGGGGGGATGACAGAAGCGCCGAACGGGCACGGAGGAGCTCTAGGAAACCTTGCACCTGAGCGAGCTCTGCTGCTCGCATCCATCGGCAGCGCCCGCCGCTCGGCACGCAGCCCTGAGATGCTCGACCGCATCTCTGGCACAGGCGAGGAGGGAGGCAGGGAGAGGGGTGCGCTGGGGACACCGAGAGCTCGGCTGCTGGAGCGTGGCAGGCAAAGAGCCCTCCAGGGCTCGGGGAGGCAGGCAGGACGTGCATTGCCTTGGAAGAGAGCGCAGCATGCTCGGTGTGGTGGAGGAACGGAGGAACTGCATAGCTGAAGAAGGCGGAGGGGAAGGTGGAGGCGGGGGG